AGAATAATGATTACAAACCATAATAGACTAATAAAAAAATGTTCAAAAATTTAACTATTACTTCGTAGTTCGTATGTAATCTGATGAAGAGTGAAGATGTTGAATGTAAGAAGTCAAGAAGATGAAGAATGGAGTTTGTTACAATGACGGCGTAGATGAAGAATGGAGTTTACTCTAAGAAGTAAACCTAATTTCCTAATATAAATGTGGTATAAAAAAATAATAATTAATTTTTATTGAAAATTACCGGGTACCCGCCGGTTCCGGGTACCCGGTCCCGGAACCGGTCCCGGCGGGTACCCGGCGGGTACCCGGCGGGTAACGGTTCCGAAAAATTGAGAACCGGAACCGGAACCATTCTCAATCGGTTCCCTATTTTAGGAACCGGAACCGGAACCACTCATATCGGTTCCGGTTCCAGAACCACCGGTTCCAAGGCGGTTCCGGTTCCGCAGGCGGGTACCCGGTTCCGCTGCTCACCCCTATGTGGGATGCTCCTGCATTGCTACATGTGCGTTGGGTTTAAGAATCGCGGATTTGACCGGCTCGAGGAAACGATGAGGCGGAAGTCCCAACATTCCCCCTCCCACATTGGTGCGACCCTAGCTCTGATACCAATTGTTGGACCGATACTAGGGAACCGCCCACATGATATTGTCCGCTTTGGGCTGCCCCTCTCGGCAACAACCCCTCATGGCTTTAAAACGCGTCACTGGTAGGAGTATGATCCCCCCTTCCTTATAAGGAAGACGAATCCCCCTAGCCTCACCGATGTGGGATGCTCCTGCATTGCTACAGGAGCGTTGGGTTTAAGAATCACGGATTTGACCGGCTCGAGGGAACGATGAGGTGGAAGTCCCAACAAAATATGATAGCGATTCCATGCAAAGTTAACGAGACGTTGGTGAAAGAATTATTTGCAACCATCGGGAGTTCCAAAAATGACACCATTGTCATTAGAGGAACGCGGGTAAATTGGATGACACCGAAGCTAAACTCGGTGCTCGGTCTCACCACCCCGTTTGTATGTTCATACCGACAGTTTATAGATGGTGGATATGATGTATCGGAGGAGGAGATTGCACGGGCGCTTTTTTTGCCCGGACACGGTTGGTCTCAAGACAACCGTAGGAAGATTTTGATGTCCGGGCACTTGACATTAGAGGCTGCCCTTTGGTTTCAATTCGTTCACCACAACATCATGCCTTCCATGCATGATCGTACATTGGCACGGACAAAGTGTATTTTTGTCTATTGTATCCTCAAGGAACGTCCGATCGACGTGGGAACTCTCGCTTATTCAACAATACTAACATCGACTGTACGAGCTAGTTCGCATTTAATTTTTCCAGGTTTGATCACGAAGCTTTTGACAGCCGCAAGGGTACCCGTATCCGAGCATGATATCATCACATTTAACCATTCCTTGCTTGACCAAGGAACGATTAACCACATGCATAAGTCGGACCATGAGAATGCCGAACTTAGCCGATGACGCTACCGGACCCCGAGTACCACCTGCACCTGCTGCCGACAGCCCACGAAGGCCCGAAGATGCTGCTATTTCTGCCTCCAAACTAGCCGCAACTACCCCTCCGACCACTACCGAAATACCGCCAATACCACCTACGGCCACAGGTTATGGTTCGGAGGTGTGGTTGTCACTTATGGCCAGCCAGTGGGAGGAATATAACCAAAAGATGGAGACAATTGTTGATGCTTTAGCCAAGATCACCGAGAGAATCACTCAAGTCGAGGATCGAGTTGTCGGACTCATGACATGTTTAGAAAAGTTTTGGATGTACACAAGAGATAGGAACCGGGTTGTGAACAAGTTTCTATCGCACAAGAATGTGATGCTAGCTTCGGATATACCGCGCTTTCCCGAAGGCCTTTGCCCTCCCCAAGTTAGACTTCCAAAGATTCGGCGGACCACCACACCGAATGCCACGGGTGAGACATCCGCTAGTCGGGATGACACAGGTAAATTGGACTGATCGTCTTCCTCGGTGTTTCGTAATTACTTTTGAAACTCAAAAACAATTTTTTTTGTTGGGTGTTTAATATTTTGTCCGACCGCTTCTTTTTGTGTTCATATATGGCGATCGTTGATATTTTCTTAGGTCTTTTGCTTAATTGCTACTCTAACTTGCTTTTGGTTATTTTTGGGCGTTGATAATTTTTGGTATATTGTTGGTTTATTATTTCATTTCAGGTGCGATTTCCTTGATGAAATCTTTGGGTTGCAAAAATTTAAAAGACGTGGGTCATCTTTCATTTTTGGCCCAAACACTTTCCATTGTTACCAAACCAAACACTTTAAACTCGTTTCTCCAATGTGGACATTGTTCGGTTTAAGTTTGGGGGAGGTTGTATGCCAAAGTATTGAGAATTTTTTTTTGAAATACCAAATGTCTTCGGAAAATTGGAAGACACAAAAAAATAGAAAAAATAAAGCAATAAGCTTTAACCCAAAGACAAAAAGTGAATATCACTTGTGGGTTTATTGAAAGTGTCAAAGACACAACAAAAAGATGCGAAGACGAAATCATTCAAAGCAATCGTTGTCATGCTAAGACAAGTTTGGGGGAATTTTTTTTAGCCAAATACATTAACCCGATAAAAGTCCCACTGATTAATTTTTGCACCTCGAAGATCAAAGAAGGGAAGTCGTACAACATTCAAGCCCTACGAGATTCTAACGCCCCTCTGTAAGTTATGATTTCTTGTTCCTCTTTGTTCATATTCCTTTTATTTTTTGTTACTTGAGGACAAGTAATATCTCATGTTTGGGGGTGTGATAACTCTTATTTTTAAGAGTTATTTCTTATTTATTTCCTCCATTTTTGTTATTATTAAATACCCAATTTTCTTGTTTTTTCCATTTTATTCCAAAAAGTTTTAAAAAGATGATGAAACACAAAAGAAGAAGAATTATTCCAAAAAACTTGTATTTTCTGACAGCACTGCCCATTGTGGCACCACTGTGGGAAGTCTACGAACTCTATTTCTACTTCTTAGGAAACGTGCAGCTTGAAGAATCATCCAGATATTTCCTCCAGCTGTATATGAGTTGTTTTCCAGTATTTATTTTATTTTTATTTTTTATGCTTTGTACTAATTACTCTTGGGGTAATGATTGGTTGTCATTGCTCCCTTCCCCACCC